ATCTGACAGAGGTTTAACATCCAGAATATATAAAGAACTCAAAAAAGAAAACAAAACAAAAAAAGAACTCAAAAAACAAAGAATCAGGAAACCAAATGGCCCAATTAAAAGATGGGCTAAAGATCTAAACAGTTCTCAAAGGAAGAAATAAAGATGGCTAAGAAACATTTCAAAAAGTGTTCAACATTGTTAGTAATTAGGGAAATGCAAATTAAAACTACCCTAAGGTATCACCTTACCCAATCACACTGGCTAGGATCAAGAGAACAAATGATACCAAATGCTGGTGAGGATGTGGAGAAAGGGGAATGCTCATTCACTGCTGGTGGGATTGCAAACTTGTGCAACCCCTATGGAAAACAGTGTGGAGAAGTCTTAAAAAAATAAAAACGAACCTACCATATGACCCGGTTATACCGCTCCTTGGCATATACCCAAAGTACTCATCCTTTGGACACTTGTACAACCATGTTTATTGATGCTCTTTTCACAATAGCTAAGAGATGGAAGCAACCTAAGTGCCCCTCAACTGATGACTGGTTAACAAAAATGTGGTATATTTATTCAATGGAGTTCTATTCAGCAGTAAAGAAAGATGAAATAATGAAATTTGCAGGTAAATGGATGGATCTAGAACTGTTATACTAAGTGAAGTAACACAGACTCAGAAAAACAATGTATGTTCTCCCTCATATGTGGACCCTAGCACCTAATCCTTTTAAATTCCATGTCCTTTTAATAAGATGATGATGTACAGCAGTCTCTTTTGCATGAAATAACTGCCATCACCATGACTTCAGCTGTACCTGATCACTAAACATTGTCACAATTGGGCTTGTTGATGGTTGCGCTCATTCATTAAAAGAGGGCTATGGAGGGTCGTTGAGCCCTCACCGGAGTATCCAGCCACTCTTCCCAGCCAGCTGTATGTAATTTGGCCCTAATAACACATGGTCTCCTGGATTTGGGGAGGGCTAAAGTATACAATCTGGGGAAAGCATGACCCATGCTGGGTAAAGGCTTTCCAGTGTGCATACCCTCAAGTCATACATACACCTCAGCAACCCCTCAGTTATCTTGGTAAGTAAGCTCTGTAAATTCATTGGTTACCCAGTAAAGCTTTAATCAAACATTGGCTTGACACTAGAACCTTAAAAGGGAATAAGCATTTGTCCTAGTTTGTTTCCTCATAAGTTTCACAACAGATGGAAAATTTGTTAATGCTATTATGTCTCATAATTATTTTTTTTTAAATGAGACTGTAAAAGGTGTTAAAAGGATATGGGAATGGAGATATTTTCCAAAATAGAAAAAATGAGAAAGCCTAAGCAATTGATGAAGGTCTGTTGGTTTGTCATGATGTATAAAGGATGAAGCAAAAATAAAATGCACATAACCTTAAATATTATA